AATGGAGAAACCACAACGGGAGTGGGATCTTTCGGAGGAGTCTTAGGGGCGGGCACCGAAGACGTAGAAGGCTTTGCGGGGGCTGGAGCAGGTGGCCTTGAAGACGGTTTCGGTGACGGCGGAGGAGGGGTCAATCTCCCGTACCCTTTAGCCACTCCCGTCGCTTTTGGAATCAAAGGCTAATTCTCGACCGACCCTGATAACTTACCCCGAACCTTAGGTGTGGGAGCGCTCTTGTGAACACCTGATAAACCCAATAAGCCTTCTAGAAAAGCCTTGTCTTTAAACACGTTTCTAGAACCCTCGTAAAAATGACCTAGCTAAAACCCTTGCAAGCCCTACACCTCGTAGCCCAAGCCCTCCCCAGACGAGTAGTAGCCCTCACAGGTACCAATTGCGGTATCTAACCCTCAAAAGTGTTAATGAGATCCCGACTAGGAACCCTTATAGGCCCTATATAAATGAAACCCGAAGCCCTGTTGGGATTCTTACGGGCACTACAAACTTTGCCCTTCCCACCATGCTCCGTGCAAGGTCGGACAAGCGGCCCGGCCAAGAATTGGAGCCGCCAGAGCCGTCACCGATGCTGGCAGTTTACTCCTGGCTTTTCAGCTCAGGTCTGGGGTACTACTTGGAGGTTCATGGGAAGTTATCACTGGGGTTGACAGCGGGGTAACTATACTGAGCTTTACAGGATTAAGACTTTAGGGTTTAAGGGTTAAGGGTTTAGGGTTTGTACATGTTAAACGATTAAACATTCAGCGAACCGACCCTCTTCGCCACAAACACATGCACTCGAGGAGGTTTCGCAGCCGGCCTAGCTATCACACGGTGACTGAGCAAACCAAGCAAATGTTAAAACTCCTCCCGAAGGGTATTGCTCAATGAAAGTGCAGTGCATGGGTTCAAATAAGGCATTATAAAGGACTCGGAAGAGCACGACAACGGTTGTCGGCTTTGTTATAATACAATAACATAGGGACTATAAGATCAAATTAATACTAGCTGTTCAGACCGGACCAATGCTTGAAGCGTCAGAGGAGCTAGTAAGACGGTAGTGAATAGAGGTACAAGTTGGACAATCGCAATAAGGGCAGTCATAACGCCAAATACAACCTGCTTTACTAGGTGCCTTCGTTCGAACACCTGGAGAGTAATATAGAAGCCTAAATAATTAACAATACTCTCTTAGGGATCATGGGCCCCAAAGCCCTATTCTAATTACTAAGGCCCGTATATTAACGACGGGGCTATTAAAAGGCTCTCCCTGATAAGATACCGCTCCCTATAATGGGCCCCTAATAGGGCTCCTTTCAGGTTCTTTTATACTTGGAGGTTCATGGGTAGGTATAAATTTGGTTATAAGGGTAACTATACCTATAACCGCATTTTAGGGGACGTATAACCCCACTTATGACTACCCATGAACCTCCAAAACCCTAAACCCTAAAAACCCTAAACCCCCCCATGAACCTCCAAATAGGATGCTTCAAAGGACTCAAACTCCCTAAACCCTAAACCCTGAACCCTAAACCCCTAAACCCTAAACCCCCATGAACCTACAAGTAGGATGCTTCAAAGGACTCAAACGCCCTAAACCCCAAACACCTAAAACCCAACCCCTAAACCCCTAAACCCCTAAACGCCTAAACCCAAAACCCAAAACCCTAAACCCCCATGAACCTCCAAGTAGGATGCTTCAAAGGACTCAAACGCCCTAAACCCTAAACCCCTAAACCCCTAAACCCTAAACCCTAAACCCTAACCCCGACTTTGCTTCCCAGGCGCAGGGCATAGTTCCCCAAGGCCAGGCCCAGAGGCACCTGAAAGCTAAAAGGCGCCTTAAGAACTTCGGGGATATATATATATATATATATGTATATGTATATGTATATGTATATGTATATGTATATATATATATATAAACACACACCCTAAGCCCTAGACCCCAAAACCCCAAACCCTAAATCCTAAAACCTTTATGGTGTAAATTCTATATGAGAAGCCCTGCGGAGACTCAGGCCCCCAATGTCAACTTGAGGGCTGAAAAGGCTATACGGATGCTTGGGACTTCAAGTTTTCTAGGAGGTTTAGTCGTGCTTGGGTCTTTGAAATGTCAGGGATTTAAGGTGTCCAAAGGGCTTTTGGACGCCTTAGGTTTTCTGGGGTGCATATCAGGGTTTTAGGATATGACCTCTTCACTTTCAGGGTTCCGTAGAGAAGCAGAAAAATAGGGTTTCTTCAAGCTAAGACTTCCGTCTGAGAAGGCCACCAATCCGACTCTCTCTCTCTCTATCTCTCTCTCTCTCTCTGTCTTTCTCGCTCTCTCTCTCTCTCTCTCTCTCTCTCTCTCTCTCGCTCTAAACCCTAAACCCTAAACCGTAAACCCTAAATCCTAAAGCCCTAAACCCAGGCCCAAAAAAGTTCAAACTTTTTAGGATAGACCTAATAGATAAGGCTAAACAGTTTAAAGTTCCCCTGTCACTAGAGGCTTCAAGCGAAAAGATACGGATTTCCAAATTAACGGCCGTAATGAAGATCTTTCAAGTTGAAGGAGCTTAGACTGGCTGCACAACGGGGTGCAGGCTCAAAGGCAAGATTTGGCACTAGGTGTTCAAAGTTCGTTTCTACTGAAGGGTTTCTCCCTAATTTGAGATCAAGTTGAACCTGACAAGAAGCTCCCGAAGGTAGAAGTGTTCTTTTGAAGAGCTTAGCCCCGTAACTCCCTGCACTTCCAGAATCTCTTACTGGAATCGCCGGGCACCAAAACAGCCAGTGTTGGTAGAAGACCGACCACCACATCTATGATGACGCCAATGGTGAAGGACAGAACTCCTGCACATCTTCAGGTATCGTCAGTCCCCCAAGCAAGAGTTGTTCAAACGTGTGCCAGGAAGGGGAACAAACGTCCTGAAACTGAACTAACCCGAGTCTGTTGCAATTTCACGCCCCGCCAAGGCAAGATGTCCAGCAGCAGCCGCGGCAGCGGCAGCAGCAGCAGCAGCACACCACCACCACCACCACCACCGCCGCTTCCCTCGTCTCTTCCTTGCGGCGAGGCAAGACGGGCTAGCTTATAGCATTCGTGAGGCTGATGCCAAAGCCTGGAAATTCAGGGGCTGCGTCTTG